CACACGCCGTGGAGCCAGCATACCACAACTACAGAGAAGCCTGCATGCCACAACAAAAATCCCGCATGTGGCAGCTAAGACCCGACACAGCCAAAAAACTAAATAAGAAAATAAATAAAAATTTTTAAAAATGTAATGCCACATGCATTATCTTATTTTCTCCCCATCTTTTTGTGCCATATTTGTCTTCTGTCAATTAAATTCACATTAAATTTTCTATAGGACAAATAGTTTTACTGGCTGTTCAGAAAATTTAAACGTACATAAGATGTCATACTCCCCTCTAAAACAATGTGATAGTTTTGAAAAATTAAGATTTCTTTGGAAAATAGTTGCTGTGATTTCAGTTCTACTTTAAAAATTCATTTGTTGCTTCTTCTGAATCACGTGACTTCAAAACTGCCATGCTTTAAAAGTTTTCTGGGCAATCTATTACTTTCAGAAGTCATGTCTAATAGCGTAAGTCATGGGGGCAGTGTTTACAACATTCTGAAGAAGTTGATCTGTCTCTTTGGGGATCATTAAGCTGTATCCTCCAGTGGAAAAACCAAAGTGATACATCAATCATTTTGATTTCTAAATGCTTAAAGACTCAAAAAAAAATTCATGTTATGATATTGCTATTGTTTAAGGAGTACTTGATTTCTTTTTCAGATTTTTCTATAAAGACTAATCAAAGATGTTTAAAGAAATACATTTTAAATAAGACTGTGTTTCAGCAAAATGTCACTGTTACATAATTTCTTTTTTTTTTTTTTTAGTAGCTAAGTTTTATTTTCTGCAGTAATAAACATTGAAGCATCCCACTCCTCAAGCTGCAGGGAAACAAAACAAGTGAACCAAGAGATACCAAGGGCCAGTAGAGGCAAAAAATTAAACCCAAATAACAAAGTGGCAGTTACTCTAAGTTTGAATTCCCTATGCCTTCCCTAGTAGGGGACACAAGGTTAGGCCACAGCCCCCTTTCCTCTGCCTAGCCTTTGGGGAGGCAGGGGCCCAAAGCGCCAAATATTCCGAATCACCAGGGAAAGCTGATCCAGGAATGAGTTGATGGAAATCCAGAAGAGGACAAGGTCTTCAGCAGACCATCTAATAGCCAGGGCACTGCCATTCACTGTATATTCCTTATGAATCATGCCTTGGTGGCATTAGGCATCTGGGATCAGAGATCTGCGGGGCATGTCTGCCCCCACCCCCGGGGGGGGTCGGAAAGGCACTGTAAGCGTGAACACCAGCAGTCCACTTCCAGGCCCTACAGCCGCGGGTGCTGCATCTCCACCATGTCCTAGGGCACGTGGTGCCGGCTCACCCTTGGGACCAGCGGCAGCTACTTCCATCCCTGCTCCTCTGCCAGGCCCACCCCAGCCTTCTGAGCCCCGGTGACCACCCTCAACTCCAGGGCTACCTGAACTACTCTGGCGATCAGGAGTTCCAGAGCTTTGCTGACCAACTCCGCCCCCTGCCCCTACAGCGCTGTCCCCCGGGGCCTGCACAGCCGACGCGTCCCTCTCTGAGCTGAGCAGAGACTTACATACATTTTTAAGTTATTTAAAATTTAAATCAAGAAAGTAGCTAGGTCCAGGTTACAAAAAAAAAAAGCAGCGTTTATGAATTTGCCTGTGATCACGACATTTTGAACACAATGACATCCTGGTTTTGTCTTTAGCCTCAGCTTCTCCTCAAAGCCAATCAGTGATGGAAACAGTAACATCTGTCAAGCATGCACCCTGGCTGGCACATGGGAGTCACTGAAATAATTTAGATAGTTCCTTTCCCAAAATTTCTTCCTGCTGTAGCTGCTGAAAAGATTAAGTGAAACCATGTATTGAAGGAGATTAGAACACAGTACTAGAAAAATATTTATCAGGTGTCCTGGGACCTAAATTACCAGAAAAAGAATAACACGTGGGAACTGACAGGAGGGCAAAAGACTACTCAAGCACACTGGTCATAAATTAAATGATTAAAATGATTCAAAGCAAGTCAACATCTTAGATGATATTTATCAGTTTTACATGTGCCACCTCCCAGAGTGATCACAATAGTGCAATATTTTCAGCTTCTGGGCTTTTATTTCAGATTTAAATTTTGAGCATATTTATTTGCTATGATCACATAAACTTCATGGAATGTTTTCTCAAACCGTAAGTATAATTTTAATATATCCAAGTGAATTAAAAATTTCTTCTCCATAGAAACATAATTTTAGGATGGAACTAAATAAGAATATTGGAGTCTATATGCAAAAAGAAAAAAAAAAAACCCTATCTTACATATGAGTTTATAAACCACAGCTATTCTATGAATACTTTTAATGGAACGTTCTAAAATCGTCAATATTTTTCAGTAAAGGCATCCACTACTCTGATCAAATTCTCCTCTTCTTAAACTACATCTTTCCATAAAAATTTTTTTTAATAAATAAATCTTTCTAAAGAAGTCTCATATATTAAAAAAAGAAGAAAAAAAAAAGCTAAGTCTTAAAAGTATGTACTAGTTGAGTTCTGAGTAAATTGAGCCGAATTCTTCACTATCATGTCCAACACTGATATCTTATGGAAACTTGGCTTTGATGTAATTCTTATCACAATTGCTCAATATGTTCATTTGCCTTCAACTCCCTTCTTTTATTTTTACCCGTCTTTATTTTTTTCTTACAATTCTATTTTTCCCCTTCCCCATATCAAACTGCAACTGGAAAATAGCTCACTCATTTCTTATTTTCAAATTTCAGCTTTTCTCTTTTGAGATACCAAGTAAGAAACATTCAAATGGTCTTCCCCTCTGTAATGTTTTGTCATTATACGCTCTGAAAATGCTACCTGATAGAACATTCATTTTAGAAGCACCTATGATCTGGCCAAATGCTAAGACATCTGGTAACAGATTTCTTTCCTTGTCATATAAACATAAGTTGACTCATATTTTAAAATTGCTCTTTTGAGTAGCAAACATATTCTACATATCATTCTTTCTTAAACAGTAATAACTTGTAGATGTTAAGGCTGTAGAGTAACAACCCGTACTAGCATCAAAATTTATATTAAAAAAAATAATCCGACTTGGATAACATAATTAACTGTGCTATAACTCTGTAATTATCACACTATATTTTTCTCTCATTACATAATTTTTACATGTGGGGGAATTAAATAATCTAAAAGCTCTATGTGATTATCAGATGCTTTAATGGAGTAGGTGAACTTTAACATAGAATGCCTTCATTACCTTTTATGCAGAGTAAAGTGAGACCATCTCAATGGTAAACAAAAATGTTCTTCAGTAATTTCTCACCCTAGATCCATCAATAAGAACATTTTTGTCCATAGGTAAGTCAATCAGTATTTTTAATACACAGTGTCTTCATCTGTGTGGTAAGCTGAATAACAGCCACCCCTTTTCCTCCATGCCCCTTACCTGTGTCCTGATCCCTGTGAATGATAACTTACCTGGCAAAAGGGACGTCAAAGATGTGATTAAGTTAAAGATCTTGAGATGGGGAGATTATCCTGCGTTATCTGGGTAGACCCTAAATGTAATCACAGATATCCTTATAAGAGAGAGGCCAAGGAAGATTTGACTACAGTAGAGGAAAAAGAGATGTGACCACAGAAGCAGAGATTGGAGTAAGGAAGGCAGGAGCCAGGAGCCAGAAATGACAACAGCTTCTAAAAGTAGAAGTAAGGATGGGCTTCCTCCAGAAGGAACCAGCCCTACAGACACCTTGATTTTAGCCCCTTTAGACTCATTTTGGACTTCTGATCTCTAGAACTAAAAGAGGATAAATTTGTGTTGCTTTAAGTTATTAAACTTGTGGTAATTTGTTATAGCATCTACAGGAAACATAAAAATTTATAAAAAGGAGTTTCAATTAAGTGACCCCCAAGAACTTTCTATAATTTGAGAAAACTGCTCTGCACTGTCAGCTGTGTGAATTTTTATTTTTAAGCATTTTTGTAGGCATAACTTAAAGAAAATCATCTTTCATTAGTTATTGGAGAGGTGACATTCTTTGTTGTAATTAGTCTTTTGGGTATTAACATCAAAAGGCAGCAAACATGAGGGGAGATAATTCTTTTATTTTCCTTTACCAAGTTGAAGGAAAATGTTATGTTGTTGATTTCTATGTTTGAATAGCCAATTCAATTAGAAATTCAAAACACAAGAATCTTGCAGAAATCAGCTGCCAGATTTATTAATCTATCTGAAAATAAAAATACAACCAAACAAAAAGTAGAATAAGAACAGAACCAAAAAAAAAAATTTAGATACATTTCCCAAGAGTTTATAATGTAATGTCTTGAACCCTTCTGTATGAGAAATATACTTAATGTTGGCCAATTACTTACTGCATTCAGTGAGTTAGTACCGTAAACAGCAAAATATATAATTTGTCCTTAAATATTATATAATCAATACCAATTCTTCCTTGATTCCTTAAAATAACTCATAGCCCAATTTTCTCACTGTCAAAGTAGAACTAGAAGTTTTAAAAGAATAAGAGAAAAAGAGAAAAAAAAAGAATACTCAATATAATTTTCACTTAGATCATATTTTAAGGACCCACTTTCAATTTCTCCAAATGTGTCAATTCTCTTTCCAGTAAAACTTTAGCTGAATATTTTAAAATCTGTTTTTATTCTACGTGCTGTAAATGGCCACATGAGCAAAGTGGGGGAAAAAAGTTCTGATTTTTAAGGCATATTTATTAGCCCATAATGGGCCTAATGCTATATAATGTAAGTGTAGAACAAGCCTTGAAATCGCAGGTTACATAGATGTGTTGAAATTAGAATTTTTTTTGTAGGATTAAACGTGAGTAGTATTGATTATGGTATGTGGGTTTCCCAGTAACTGTTCAATTTAAAGACATGAGTTGTGATCCGTGTCATGTTGGAAAATGGGTAGCCAGGAGATCATCTTTCAACAATTTTCCCTGTGTTCATCATGAAAAGCTTTTATAAGTCGATTTTGGCTTTGTGTTTAGGACTTTTTAAAAATTTTGCTACTGACTCTTTAAAAATTTTTGTTCCTCTGGGATATTGATGGAGTGAACAAAATTCGTGTTTCTTGCTTGAATCATTTTAGCAAGCTCTTCAGAGATACTGTACCACCATTTACTTATGGCTTTGTTATACCCTAATTTCAGTATTTTCTCCAAATGCAAAACAAAACCAAAACAAAAACCTTTGAAACTTTAAATCTTTAAATCTTCTTTCAAACAATCCAATCACATTTACACGAGTGTCCAAAACAAGATGATGGATAGTACCAGCGCCAGCACTATGTCATACAGCAACTTCCTCATATTCTTTGACAGTTTGTAAATAATTTTCCATTTCACCAAAAGTTACAAAATTTTCCACAGTTTCCCTTAGCAAGCTGAAGCTTACTCTTCATTTTGTCAATGTGCATAAAAGCTGCTTATAGCATAGCATGGCATAAGCTATTTTTGAAGCAATAAATGGTTCGAGTCATCTATTTTGTCCTGAAATGCTATCTGTAGTTAACTGCATTGCTTATAAATGGTCATAGTAAATTCAGCATGAAAGAGAATATTACAGAAAAGACAGCAGCAGAAGCATTAGCATTATCTAATATTTATATATGTTTCAACATAACACAGCAGTAAAAGGTTTAAATGCATATCAATGGGTACCATGTCTAAAAATTACTATAGTACCTATTTAGTGTATTGGATATTTTTCTTAAGGAGTGCTTGCTGTATCTAGAACAGCATATTATGTGATTTAGTACAGTTAATTCTTATTGATTAAATAATGTTTTTATGTACTGAAGGAAGCGAAAGGAGACAGATATTTTTTGCTTCATTGTGATCCCAGATTTACCATTTAAATGAAGATCTCAAAGGACCATGAAAAATATCATTATTTAACTGAAATGAGCTTCAAAATACTTTAACAACAGTATGATTTGTATCTAAAGAGCAAGGTGGCACCAGATACGTATACTGCTACTGGCCTGTGACTCAGTTTGGAGCCAGAGTCCAAAATTGTGCCCCTCATTTACAGTCATGGTGATTACTCAACTTCAGAGAGAATTACCCATTTTATGGTTATCCTCTAAGAGTCATATGTAAAGCAAAACGAAACAAAAAGCAGCAAATGCAATCTCTAGATACCTTTTTACAAGAGGTGCAAAAACAGTCATTTCTAACAATTAAACTGCCTTTTACAGTAGTTTTTTTTTGTACACCTTGCAGAGACTCAGAAATGATAGGGGAAAATGCCCAAGGCAAATAGTCTCCAAGTGGATATTTACACAATGTGAATTAACTGTGTACTATAGACACCCAGAGGAAATGAACATTTTCTAGGTTGTTATGAAATCAAATCAACATGATAGAGCTTCATCATACTTAAAACCTGTAGGACCCCATCCCAAGCCTAAGTAAAAAGTAATCCCCCAATCCCCCCCTCCCATTCACCCATTACCTTCCTGTTACACAGAATAAATGTTTAGATTACTCCCACCCACTCTCAAATAAAGTGCACAGTCCATGGCAGACCATAGAATAATGCAACAGGAAAAGCCCCTTTTTGTGTATTATTATTTAAAAATAAAATACAAACAACAAAAATCAGACAAAGATTGAAGAGAATTCAGAGATTCTCTGCATCTCGCAAAAGAGGAGAGGCGCGAGGAGGCCCTTGACTGTCACTTGTGTTAATACACGTAGCCTTCGTTATAGGGGTGAGGGTTGCAGCAGCCCCCTTCTGGCATATAGGCCATGCTCTCGTCAAAGTGGGACAGAGGCACCGTGTCCTCTTCATTGATATGACGCTCCATGTCTGTCTTCAGCAGTGGGCGCTGATTATCTGGAAAGGCCATGGAGAAGAGGGCTTCTGGATCACATACAAATTTGTAGACGTATCTCTCTCCAGCCACCTAAGGGAAACACGGAAGAGAAATCCCATCCTTATGTGCAGTGCCGGATGGTAACTAGACTTAGTGTGGTAAGCATTTCGCAAGAGATACAAATATCCAATCGTTGCGTTGTACACCTGAAACTAATGTGAGGTTGTTATGTCAACTACATCTCAGCTTAAAAAAACCCAACAACTCATCTTCACCATCCCAGATTGGAAGGGCAGAGAAAGAAATAAACAAAAACATGATTTAATACTCCAGAAAGGATGAATAACAAAAGAAGAAGCAATGAACTATTAACAGATAGAAAAAAAATCCTCACTTTGTGTGACAAACTACGGTTCAATCGAGGGAAATGCAAAATGTTGACCTTGAGTAATAATTACATTCATTCCAGATATAGCTAGAAAGCTTAGCAGCTTGCTTGTTTTCATGTAAGTGTAAACTTACATTGCTATTTGGGGGGAAAAAAAATCAATGATTTCATGCAGGCATCGTCACATTACAATCTTTTCCCCTCTGTTTGAAAAGGTAATATCTATAGTACTTATAAAATAACCAGGCCTTTAAAGTGTAGTGTCTCCCTCTTAACATTATATTTCTGAAACTGTAGAAAAACTAAACTTCCAAAGCTTAGAAGAAAAATGTATTGTGTTCCTAATAAGACTAGACTAGTGATTCACTGATTCGCAGGGTGAACTGTTCTTTTTTTATTTTTTATTTTCTTTTGCACTGTATATTCTCACCTGAAAAAAAAGATACATAGCCTTATTTAAACGAAAGATAGATCGAGAGGGCAGCATTATCCTGGGTACATCACTTTTAAAAATGAAAGCAAGATGCCTTAGACAGAAGGTAAGGATGTATATAAAGTGTCAAATTGAAGTAAGAGGTGTAAAAAAGTGAAAGGAATTTAAAATACACGATGCATAGGGAGGAAATGAAAGAAAGAAATGTGACAGCTGCTTGAAATAAAGGAGAAGTGGCGTAATTTGTAGGAAATAACATGTCCCAAACTTAAATTTTGAAGAGTAATGCTTCTCTAGGAAATTATAAACAATTGAGTGGAACAAATACAGCCCTGCCCCCGCTGCCATTAATAGACAATGCTGAGCTTCTCAAAAACCCACGGGGGGGTTGGGCAGGGCAGGAGTGGATGAATACAGTTCTTTGTATTAAGTTTGGCAGTAACTTTTTGTGTGTATGTAGAGTTCAGTAATTTTAGAAAGGTGCAAATTACTCAACTCCTCTGCTACTTTGCTGTGTGATGTGGGGGTATGGTGAGTTCATAGTTTATAAACTATCTGTGCATGTTTGGGAAGAAAAAAAAAAATTACCAAGGAGCACTGCTGTTCTGGACTCAGATTTAGAATGTTTTTTGCCCTGGATTTTTTTTACCCTGTAAGAGGAATCAATTTAGAGAATTCAAATACTCTGAATATCCTTAGGCTTGAAAACAGCCAAGACTTAGTTTTTATGGATTTGGACATGTTTCTTAAACTGCCCCCAGTTCCCCTTTTTTTTGTGAAATGGAGTCAGGAATGGCTTCTTGGAAAGCCTGTTGCAAGACTAAGATGGAAGTCTCTAGCACAGGGCATGGCAAACGGAGGAGTCTGGCATAAATTTATTCACTTTAGTCCTTTATAAAAAGGAAATTAAGTTCGTAAAGGTGAAATGGTGAAACTACCATAAAAGTAAAAATAGACCATATCAGAAACAAAGCTTAACTATACTAAATCCCCGTTTCCCGTGTTTCTTTGTTCAAAGCACTTTGAGAATAAAAATAAAATAAATGGCCTGCATACCTCAGAGCATTTAATAACCTGCTTTGTTTTGTCTGCAGCCGCTGAGAAGGAGGCATTTGCTTTAGGATACTGGAAGTTTTTTTGTACAACCTGTTGCTATTGGTTATAATTAGAAATGATTCGATAAATCACTGCGGGGAATTAAAATGTATAATATGCAATCAAGATTATAAAACCTCTTAAGGACTCTGCCTTGACTCACTGTTTTATTTTCCTTACAGTAAACATATTTAGGGCTACTACTATAATTACTGGCCTATTTAAATGCCACAAAGTTTAGAACAAGGGCTGATAACCAACCAAGGGACAGAACGTCTTCTGTTATTCAGTTATAATATGGAAAATGCTATACATTCAGTATACACAAATTGCAATGCTTAGATAGATAAAACATGAATTTTGAAAGACTAGCTATTTAAATTATGTGTTAACTTTTAAAATTTCAGAAGTAATACAGGGGTATTGGAAGAAAATTTTAAATTACAGATTAAGCCAAAAGAAATAATAATCTGATTATATCAACCAGAAATAACCAATGCTTAAATGTTTGTATATACTTTTCCCATCATTTCTAAATTTTGAAATTCATACATGTACTGTCTATAAGGTATAATGATCATTACTTCATTTCTTATTTCTTTCATAACTACTAAAATAATCAGGGTTTCTTTGATGTTTAGATCCATTTGGGTTTTATTTTATTCTCTAATCTTTCCATTTTATTTTCTTTTACATACACCACATACACACAGAGTTTTAAGTTCATGAACAAGCGTGGTCAGATAAACACTTTCCCCATACATTAAAATATATAATTCTACATCAGAGTTTTCTTTTTTTAAAGGACTGCATAATTTTTCTCTGAATGACTATACTAGAACTTACTTAACCATTATGTTAATAGGTAAAGATAAGATGGCAGGACATTCTAAAAAGAGTGAAGCAATGAGAGAGTCACAGGTGTGTCAGAGAGTGGCAAGTAGAACGGCTCAACACGTGGAAGGAAGAATAAGTATATGTACGTCTGTAAAAATTGTCCAAAGTCTTGATTGTTGTGCTAGTTATAAGTAGACTTCAACTTTTGCATTTTTCACCTTTAAACGACCTGGTTTTCCTTATATCGTATGCAATACCCCAAAAGGCCTGTGATGTACAACATTTTGCTCTCCTATATTAGCTGACAAATAAATGGTTGCTAATAGTTTCCTTTGGCAATTACAACCTAATAGAAAAAACGTGAGGAGCCACAACATTTTTTCAACATCTATGCTGTCATTAGACTATTTGATAGCATCTTGCCTTATTAATTTATTAAAGTAAGAGGTAAATAAATAGGATATGTGATAACTGTATAAATAAATAGGAACATGGAAGCGGTGGTATCAGTAATAAGCATAAGTTTGAACACCTTTGAGAATATTTAAGACCAGACATGTCATCCTGAAGATACCCCCTCAAATACTGTGTCTAAAGCCTGAGGTATGATTAGACAGTTTACGATACTTTTTAGCTCTCCATTTAGTAAGGGACTTACTGGTCAAGACACACAAGCTAAATATGCCTTGGATTCAGGGTGTGAGATGCATTCACAGCTACCATTTGTTGAAGACTTTTGCGCCAGGTACAATGCAAGTGTCTCAAGTACATTATTTCATTTAATAATCACAGCAGCTTCACGAGGTAAGAATACCACTGCTGAGTAGCAGAAGAATCTGTTCAAAAAAGGTGATCTAATGAGAAGGTAGCATGCAAACCAAAGTCATGACTGCATTTTGTGTAACACTGCCCAGGGGACCTGCAGAGCACCTACTGTGCCAGCCCGCTTGATGTGCCCAATTAGGAAGATGGTGATGAAAACGAAAAGAATGGGATGTATGTGAAAGGGGTTGGCTGCAAATGGGAGTGGTGGATGAGAGAAAGGGAGGAATTAAAAAAGCCTCCGGGGTTGAGATGGAGAAGACAGAGCAGATAGTAACTGGTTTTACATTTTGAAGGTGAGATTCAGGGAAATAGGAAGCAATTAAGAATCTAATTCAGCCTTATCTTTTAAGGATCTTCCAAGTTCTAACTTGCAGGCTGGCCAACTCCAGAGCACAGATTCCCTTTGGTCTAGAAAACTCAATGATGCTGTTTCCCTGTCTTCTAGTAAGTTTCATGGACCAACTGGTCTAGTTTTTCTTGGCAGAACCATGGTGACATAAAACTATGCCACAATCTGTAATATACGTCTGTGTCCCCCCAAATGAACAAAGGATGCATAATAAAACTATAACGTAATATTCACGATGAATAAATCCTAAACGTTGTTCACAGTCAAGACTATTAGATCGAATATGCATGCAAGGCTGAAGGATGTAACAATAACAAATACCCACATGTTTTATCTTTATTTATTCGTTTATTCATTACCTTCTTCAAAAATTTTATATTTTGTTTCTAGGTGTAATTCATTTGTTTTATCTCACACCTTTTAAAAAAGCTACCTGGAAATATTAAGAGACACTCATTTGAAATAAAATAAATGTAACTTCATTATACCAATGAAATAAGATCAAATACTTATTTTTAATCAACGGTTTAAGATGTTAAGCTGTCAAGTAATGAAATCAGCCAAGAAAAAATGTTTTTCAGAATGAGAACAAGCAATGTTCTGAACGTTTTAAGAACCAGAACAAGAGGGAAAAGGTAATAAGTCAGATAGTATTCAAAATTATATACTTGTGGAGAATGTAGCAAAATATCAACGACTTCTGGGGATATATGCTTGCCATATTAGTACGAAAACAACAGTTTTTCTACCAAACACAGGAAAGTGGGGACTTCCAGAAAGTCTACTACTTTGTATATGATATTATTACACATTTGTCTATAATGCCCATGCATTTATAAACAGAAAGGCTTGTAATAGCAAAGCAAACAGCTAAGCATATGTTAAAGTGGGCGGAAACCTTGCTTCAGCAGTGTAATGGTACGTGGCTTTAAAGTATGACACGCGGATGAATGCGCAACATTTCAATGAATTTTAACGCTGTATTAGCTGCTCACCTTTTGCATGATTCCTTTCTCATAATAATAGCGGAGTGAACGGCTAAGTTTATCATAGTTCATAGCTGGCCTGTTTTTCTGAATGCCCCAACGCCGGGCCACCTGCCACCAAAACAGAATTACATTGTAGTGTTAAGTATAAACTTATCAACATATCTCATAAAAATCAGTTAATTCATTAATTACTTCCAAGCACTCTAAAACACATCCAAATCAAAAACGTAAGTAAAGACACAAAAGCTATCATGATCTGCATATCCTGCGTCCTGGTTTGCTTTTTAAACCAGGCCTTCAGTGATCACCCTGAAGCCGAGGCATGCTTCGCATGCTGAGGTACCCTGTTTTCTCCTTCTTACTTTTTCTTTTCAGATAAAATCTACAGATCAAGAGTGGCTTCGTGATCTCTTTGTAAAGGTGTTTTTGAGGTCACGATAAACCAAAGGAAAACAGATATCCTGCATGACGCTGAATAAAAGAGTGAACAAGTGGCACAGCGTGTACAGCAGAGGAAACAGTATACCAATTAGTAAGCTGAACTGCAAATAATTTTTATTGCCTGAAGCAGCATCAGGATAAAACTGCAGCCAATACTACACTGGGGAATTAAGCGTTCATTTAAAGAACAGTAGTAATCAGATGCTAAAAATAAGGAGGCCGCCATGTGTATGAGTCCACAGACAAAAATCTCTAAAGCAGGATATCTGCTTTTGCTGTTCAGTGAACAATGTCTGAGCTTCAACAGAGCTTCAGCAAAACCTCCTTCCTCAACATATCTGTATCCCCTACCTCACCACTACCCTGGCTAGATGCAGCGTTATCCAGAACAGGGTGGCCTGCTTCTATGACCTCAGCTAAAGTCACCTTCGCATTAATTTCCACTTTTGCTTCATCTGAGCAGAAATTGCAGCTGCCATGCATGCCTAGGTAACCCTGAGACACCATTTTTAAATAGGGTTAGAGTTTTCCTTCATGTTCACAGAATTCCAGGTTGTTGCTACGTTTCCTTCATGTTCACAGAATTCCAAGTTGTTGCTACGTGTAATATACTAAAACAGAATGCTTTGCAAAGAGGTCATTCTGTCTCTCTCTACTTCATTAGCAATAACCTTTCTCCAGAGTTTTTTTTTTTTCTCTTTTAAAAACACTGATCCTTGCTATTTTCTCTCTCGCTAATTTCTACTTCCTGAATGAAGATACAATGTAATTTAGTCACATATATCAGTATAATTTTTGAAGAGCGGAGAGATGTAACGTCACAGGGACGTGACTATATATCAAAACAGAGTCACTGTGACAGGTACACCTTAAAGTTCCAAAGATAAACTTCGTTTTAATGTAAATGTTCTAAGCAATAGCAAAATGGGCTGATGGCAATAAGAAGTGAAAGCAATAATTTCTAAATAAAATGTCTTTTAAAAAGCTAACAATGGACATCAGTGAATCTTTAATAGACATGACAACTGAACAGCCTGCGAACCTGGAGGGGATGTGAAAATAAATTATTAGTATCTCCTGAAACTGAACAATTTCTGAACACTTATGCATTTGTAAATCATGCTTTTCTAGAGGCTCACCAGGAGGCACCTAGAAAGTAAAATACCTGCAACACACTTCAAGACAACACAGTGGAAGTCTTTGGGGAGAGAAAGATGTTTTTTTAATACCATAAGCAGAGTTTGACTTTTATGATGCCAGTTAATTCTCAGCACCATGGGTATCAGTAGACATTTTAAAACAATCAAATTTATTCTTTTTTTTTCTTTTTTGCGGTACGCGCGCCTCTCACTGTTGTGGCCTCTCCCGTTGCAGAGCACAGGCTCTGGACGTGCAGGCTCAGCGGCCATGGCTCAGGGGCCCACCCGCTCCGCGGCATGTGGAATCCTCCCGGACCGGGGCATTAACCCGTGTCCCCTGCATCGGCAGGCGGACTCCCAACCACTGTGCCACCAGGGAAGCCCCCAAATTTATTCTTAGAGCTGTTTCAATATCACATTCATTATAAAGTTGAGGGAAATGGATACTCATATGCCTGAGAGATGCAGACAAGTTGTGCAAGATGAAGGAATAAGATACAGAAATCTGTTGTACAGCACTGTTCCTATAGTTAATGATACTGGATTGAACGTGTAAAAATTTGATAAGAAGATAGATCCCATGTTGTGTTCCTATCATGATAAAAATTTTTTAAAAGATTGCAACTTAAAATGAACAGATAACATAAATAATTTCCAGGATAGGTTGGACCATCCAACAACTAAGAAAGTCCACTCAGCCCTCACATATGACCCCGTCAATCACCACTATACCCGGCGCCACTAAAAGCCAAGGTACCAAATGTAAAACAGATAGCTAGTGGGAAGCAGCTGCATAGCACAGGGAGATCAGCTCGATGCTTTGTGACCACCTAGAGGGGTGGGATAGGGAGGGTTGGAGGGAGACGCAAGAGGGAGGAGATATGGGGATATATGTATACATATAGCTGATTCACTGTTATACAGCAGAAACTGACACACCATTGTAAAGCAATTATACTACAATAAAGATGTAAAAAAAAAAAAAAAAGCCAAGGTACCATTTTCAACATGGAGTGGGTACGATGATGGCAATACTTTCAGTAAATTCCTTTTAACACTCTTTCAAAAGAAAACTTTGGATGTTAATGAGGAGAGTGAAAAGATCTCTATAGCACTCTAGCATTTATCCTTATCACCAAATGAATTAAACAGGAAAATGCAATCGTTCAATTATTATTCAATTTATTTTTAAAATCACGCTTGAATATGCAACAGTAAACCTAGAAACCACAATCAGGGCCTGGCTATCAGACTTCTCGATAACTCTTCCAGCTCAACAAGCTTGCATATTAGCAGAAGACTTCTACTCTGCCTCCTACAGATGCTTCACTATGTCAATAACTGTTCCCTGGAACAATTCCCCAGAACCCATGATTAATTAAAAAATAACATCTCGTTATCTCGAATATCTCAAAAAGAGATGTTAAAGATTATGTGCTTGCTAAAGTTATCCAAACACACTGAGCAGATAATCAGCCACAAGACTGCAGTCTCACTCAGCATCATTTTAAACTGCAAGAGGAAATACAAAAAGCGGAACTCATGAGTAATTCCAACAAGGATGGCTTCAGAGCCACCTTTCATGAGCTGTGCTGTCACAGATCCTCAATTAACTGCTGTGTAGTTGAAAGAAGAGGGTGACCGTGGGCCACAGAGACTAAAGAAATTTCACAAACATTTTCCAAAGAAGAAATTTAAACATAAGCAGCACAGTCATTGCCTGATGGAAGCAATTGTAGCAGTGAGCAATGCAGCAATCAGAAATGGAACGTTTCATTTTGAACAAAGGGCCTTAGGAGACATTGAGCGCTTATTGCACAATTGCCAGGGAGTTAGGCTGACTCTGAATTCCCCTGTCCTTTTTTACTTTCTGAGTCTGATACAGAAAAGGTGTCTAAATGTTGGTTTGTTGTATGGAACAGAAATAATTGTATTCCTTCCCAGCATTTAAAAAAAAAAAAATCACAGAAATTCACAATTTGATGTAACTTAATGGTCCCCTGGTCAAGTCTCCTATTCTACTTGTTCAAACATGATCAGCTTAAAAATCAACAATTGCTATATAAAGAACTTAATCACGTGTGCCTAAGTATTTTTACACTTCTGAGTGGATCAATAATCACAGACATAATTCAGTCATTTCCCCCATCTTAACAGATAGATGGCAAAAATAAAAATTCTGTTTCTGCTCACTTATTTTAACCACAGATGGACGGAAGTAATTGATATAAATCCCTGTTGAATGTCCTCAGTTCTAGCATGAACCAACTCTTGCAGAGATTATTAACATCTTTCACGAGGTGAAGAGCACACATTCCCATCATGTTAAAGGGCTTTCAAATTACTTTACGTTAAGTGTTTCTAGTCTCAATTTTTAGTGCTTCACATTTTTGCGGTTCTTTCACTTATACCATTTAAGTACACCTACATAAAAAATGAATTTCTTTTGACAGCCAAATTAAGTTTTAGATGCAGTACAAAATTCAAACACCCAAACATTTAGCCTATACTCAATTGAATTTCTGATTTAACTTGAGCCCTCAAATGCTACCAGGGTATTGATGTAACCCGGAGTACACTTAATTGTACTAACCGTCTCCTCTGATTTCATACTTTATTTAATACATATGCGAATCGGATAATCTCTTAAATCTTAATAAGTAATGTCACCTTATCTTCTGGAAATCAAATTAGGACACGTTATCTGATGATGATTAAGTACATGGTCTCATAGAGCAGAAGATGCAAGATGTATAGGCCCAGTAGCCTAGTCTAGGCTGTAGATGTCTAGTCTACGTGAAACTAATCACTTTGACTTAAAAAATAGCTGGATATCTCTCTCTGAATTTTTCGACTTTTCTGAGGTGTTTAGATCCTATAGCCAATATGATCAGTCATAGGCACGTTAGCTAAAAGTCTTCCATTGCTTTCTCAGCTAACGTAAACTGAAGTCAATTTTAACAGCAGCAGAAAAAGCATCTTTAATAAGACACAAACGTTTCATATAAAAGTCACCTTTCTTTTGAGGTCCAAAATGCTATTCGGTAGGTTATGTTGTAATAATAATAATAGTAGGCTTGGGACTTCCCCGGTGGTCCAGTGGTAAGGAATCTGCCTGCCAATGAAGGGGACACGGGTTTGATCCCTGGTTGGGGAACTAAGATCCCACATGCCGTGGGGCAACTAAGCCCGTGTGCCACAACTATTGAGCTCACGCACCTCAACGAGAAAGAGAAATCCTGCATGCCACAACTAGAGAGAAACCCGAGCACAGCAACGAAGAGACCATCCCGTAATGAAAAGGTCCTGCATGCCTCAACAAAGATCCCATGGGCCGCAACCAAAAAAAGAAAAGAATAGAAAAAAAAGTAGGCTTAAGCCTAAAGTTAGTCCTGGGCAGAATAAAAATTGAACTGAGAGGTTTTTCAGGAAAACACTCCATTGGTATGTGCATGGGGGAGGGTTGGAGGAAGTAAGACAGCTGAACAGAATGAAAGGTGTTCCATTTACCTGTATTCTCTCTATCCAGAGTCTTCTTAGGTATGGTGACATTTTAAACTTTATTCCTACCTTCCAAAGGAGCGTACACAGCCCAGCAGATTCAAAACAGATGTCACCAATAATCAAAGGGAAACAATGGCTGTACAGGTCTGTGTCTCCTAAGAAACACTTAAGGAGTAAGAATTTCCCACTGTGGCCCTTGTGTGCCTTTATTGCCCACAGCTACGTCTCCCCTACACCCTCTCACACATGACTTTGTTCTCTAAATGTTCCTCTCTAACCCTCTTGACAAAAATCAAGACTGTCCAAATAATAACTGCTAATTCTCAAGAACAATTCCTCCATACCCAAAACTAGTTGAACTTTGATAGACATCTCTCTTCCTCAAAGACCATCAAACGTGCCCAACTTAGATGCACCTTTAGAGACTTCCCAAGCCCTGCTCTCTTGAATAAAGGATTATGCTAATAATCCGGTTGATTTCCTTCAATTCCTGTAGGACGGTGTGCAACTGGAAAAAGCCTGCAACATATTCATGTCTTATTTTAAATACATTCCTGCTTCTTTTTTTTTTTTGGCCCACCTTTTAATTCACAATGTTTCCCTATAGTTTTAAAATTAAAAAATACTTCTTTGGCATATTAATCAAGTCTATGTTTCCTTATATTAGAACATATCTGATCTTCCTAAGTAGAATCTACTAAACTCACCTCTTCAGGCTCAATCAATTTAAATTCCATGCCTCTCCCGGTCCAGGCAATGAAATGGGAATTGGAAGGGTCGTCCAGAAGTGCTACCAAAAACTGCCAGAGCTGAAGTGATCCCCGCCGCTGGTACGTGGGTCCTTCCCGATACATCCCTGGCTCTTGCTTTATATCTCCTAAATTAAAAACATTTTAAGTTTCTATGATTAGCCATGATATTTACATAAAATTTATATTAAGCCAATCACTAAAATGGTTACACTACAACCAATTTAAGGGTGTCTATGAAATATACTGTTACCATTAAATAGGGATTTAAAATAGGTAAAAGGGTGAATATAACCCAGGAATCTACAAATTTACACACAGCTGTATATATAAAGGTCACTATAAATGCACAAAGGCCAGAATAAATCCATGGAGGTCATTTACTTATAAAAATGCTGTATATCTTTTTTTTCTTTAGATACTATTTTAAAAACTGTAGTATCCGATCATACTTCTTGCCTTCATTGTTAATGCTATTACTTACTGCTCTAAGTAACAATGCAGAGGGAGTAATCAATTTTAAGCTCTGTGCATTTTATTTGCGCAAATTAAATTCTGCAATTTATAAATACCTCATTGACCTGCACATGACAAACTAGTGAAAATTTTAATGCAAATACTTCAAAGCAAAGTTAATAGCATCTTAGACTCTGTGAGTTAAGTAAAAACTAGGACAATGTCATGGGTAATTCAGGGCATACTGGATTACCGGTATACCATCTTTCTTCCACACCTTCGCTGGCACTCTGCTTTCTCAACTGGCAGCAAATGAAAATTCTCTCATTTTTCCTTGTCTCTTGTTTGTATTGCACTTATTTGAGTTTAGCTTGCTATTCTTTTTCTAAAAGTCCAATTTTATAATGTTTATACACACACAAAAAAGAATACACCAGAGTTTTCTGTTATCTATATTTTTAAACAAGAAAGGTTTGTTTGTGCTACATTTATTTGTTATTCATACAAAGTGTAAAAAACTCTATTAAATAGATTACAGCAGCAAAGGTATTAGTTTCCAATTCTTTGGAATATCTGGCCAGATATTTTGATTTTACCAAAAAACAAACAAACCAAAAAAAACCACCACAACTCAGTTTCATGACTACTGATTATTTACTTCTATCTCCAGCAAATTGTCTCAAAAATATGTGGAATTAGTCACATTGGGGATTGAATGTCTAGGGCCCTACAAGCATATCACTATTAATGCATGAATTTCTCTCCTGCACTAAAGAAACAATTCAGACAGAATACATTTGAGCCGATTTTCTGACATTAAGTGTGAATTATAAACCAGACCAAATCATGAGCTTTTTAAAAATTTCCTTTGGTCAAGAGACAGAAATACACCTCTTAAAATAATTAGAAAGAACACTTAAAAAACCTAAACCAGGGCTTCCCTGGTGGCGCAGTGGTTGAGAGTCCGCCTGCCGATGCAGGGGACACGGGTTCATCCCCGGTCCGGGAGGATCCCACATGCCGCGGAGCGGCTGGGCCCGTGAGCCATGGCCGCTGAGCCTGCACGTCCAGAGCCTGTGCCTGTGCTCCGCGACGGGAGAGGCCACAACAGTGAGAGGCCCGCGTACCGCAAAAGAAAAACCTAAACCAAAATAAAATTATTCACTCAACAGCTGCTAAAAATCATTATGTTGTTTTGGTCTAAGCTATAAAATATAGAAGTGTCTCTTCATACTGATTTCAATGACAGGTTTATTTATCTCCGTTTTTCCTTCTGAGATTTAGAAATTTTCAGGGGGGTAACTGAGCAATTATGCAGATAGAGTGAAACACTCTCAGATTCAGATTTTCTAACCTTTAGATTTCTTCTGCCTATAAATGTGACTGACCATACTGGCCTTGTACAACGAAAAAATAACCCTTTGTTCTTCTTTCTTCTTGGTCTCTATTCCTTACAAAATGTAAGCCCAATACTATCTTCCCCAAAATATTTTCTTAGTATAAAATTGAGGAGTATTTCAAAGCCAAAGGGAAAATATAATCAAGACAGTTAGCTTCCCCAAACATGTAAGTGACTTAGACTTTGCCCTGTTAGATTATATCATAATCCTGTTTACAGTTTTGAGCTATTTTCCTTCCTTACATGCCCATACTAATCATCGCGATTTCTTAAAATGTTAAGCTCACTAAGCATGAAAGAAACTGATGAAGGTCATGCCAAAAAGTAGACTTTATGCTTTTTCTCAAGAGAAAAAGCTGGACTTTAAGGATTTTGATGCTCTGCGAATGATGCCAAAGAAAATAACACAGATCACACCTCTGAAACTCTAAGGTTAAAAGTAACATCTATTATAGAGTAAGGCTGAAAAAGTGATCCCTATTGGAGTTTAACCCTGTGACCTTGGCATGAATTTAGCAATGTAAAGGGAGGCTAAGGACACAGATCTTCCCAAGACTTATATCACCCCTTCTGAAACGTCTACCTGTAGCGAAAGCCTGGGGAACACAGTAGACTTCAAGCAACTAATTAGAGACTGAGAAGCAATCTGCACATACACTTTGCTGTTTAAATAATGACAATTAAAAACTCCTGAGAGCTACCAGGCCATTACAGCCATGATCCCTAAAGTTTGTGCAATCAGCTAATCAGAGGGCCCCTGCTTGTTTCCTGTTAAACAATCAAAGCAGGAAATATGGAGACCGCTCTGAAGAACCACTAAGTCAATCAACTGTTCACTTTTTACCCAAGCCTCTGGGTAGATGCTGACTGCTGCCACCTTTGTCAAGAAAAGAAGATTCTAACTTGACACCCCTTTCTAACGTGTGTGTGTGGGGTGATATTTTCGTTTTCATTGCCACAGCAAGTGATATTAAAAGAGTGATGCAGGGCTTCCCTGGTGGCGCAGTGGTTGAGAGTCCACCTGCCGATGCAGGGGACACGGGTTCGGGCCCCGGTCCGGGAAGATCCCACATGCCGCAGAGCGGCTGAGCCCGTGAGCCATGGCCGTTGAGCCTGTGCGTCCGGAGCCTGTGCTCTGCAACGGGAGAGGCCACAACAGTGAGAGGCCCGCGTACGGCAAAAAAAAAAAAAAAAAAAAAAAAAAAAAAAAAGAGTGATGCTTTCCTAACTCCATCTGAAGCAATTACAAAGTAATGTCACATTAGTAATGAACATCTTCCCAGGGGAAAAACAAAAAAGGAGGACTCACAATCACTAACTAAATGGGCAGCTGTATTGTTCCTGTGTTCCATAATGCATCTTTTCGTGAACAATAAAAGGCAAGAGCCTGCATTAGTCATCCATGCATCCACAGTAGCATGCTTTCTCCTCTGCTTTGTTAATTACGGGATCAGCTCTCAATAAATCTCGAGCAACAAGCTGCATGTCCTCAGCCAGGCAATGGAAAGGGCCCCCTTATTCTACATAAAGCCCAGCAAGAATGACACTCTGTCTAACTCTAAAAATGGGATCTCTCATAGGACAAAAGAAAAAAGCTTCTTAATGGGCAAAGGAAAGGGAATTTATAAGAGGCAAAGTTTAGCGAGACTTGAGTGCATCGTAAGTGATGGGCATGAAGATCGTTAAGTAGCGATGTTGACTGCTTTCAGGAAAGGAGAAGGTGATCTCTCCTCGCCCTCTTACAGAAATCAAAACTTGATACACAATGAAAAACCTACCATCGAATTTCTCTGGGACAACACAGGTGTCATCATAAAACTGCCTGGGGCCCTTTTCAAACATGCAGCCTGTGGGGGGAAATGAAATACATTTACTCATGACAGAAATAACACTCACAAATAAATCAAAATATAACCATTAAGGCAAAAACGGAGGTAGAAAAGGACTCTTCTACTTTTCCACTCCGTGACCTTGGACACATTATTTAACCTCTGTGCCTCAGTCTCCTCATCTATAAAATGGGAATGATAACAAAGCATCTACCTTATAGGGTTGTTGTGAGGATTACATGATTTAATATATGCAACTTTAGAACACTGCCTAGCACATGGTAATACATGAGAGTTAGCAATTTATATTATTACTAACCAAAGCATAGAGCTTACGTAAACACTGGCAAACCTGGGATGTATAATGTATCATTTCCTTTTCCATTTTCTTCCAAGTTTTGTTATTCAACCAGATGAGAGGGAAATCAGAGTGAATTACTGCCATGTACCTTGCATTATGACCCTGATGAACTGAAACAGGTACGGTTTACCCCCTTACTTCTTTGGAGAAATATTTAGCTAGGTTAACTTTCTCATGTTTTCATCTTCAATAGCCAAGGCAGTTAAAAAAAACTTTCCTTTTTTGCTGTAACATAACTAAGTCCATAGGAAAAATGCAAAATAAATTGACAGCTTTTCACAATCATTTTCTCCCCCAAATATCCTTGACTGTGGCACCTTCATTTAATTGCTGTTATCTTTCATCACCAGGAAGAAATTTCCCATAGTTTAGTCACAGTTTTATTTCTCAAAAGTATTGGTCTCTGTGGTAGGTACATAATATTAAAAATAGCAACAATAATTATATTGCATTTGTGCAAAATTCTTGGCCTCATATTTTCTGGATTTACCATCTCATAATACTACCCTTTAAACATGGGGATTTACTTCTATTAATGTTATTTAAACAAAACAACCAATGCTGGACTCAACCTAGAAGGATGGATCTAAGTCATTCACTGAAGATACATAGTGTTGACATCAAGGACCATGCACATAATTCCGGAAATACTTTAAAGGGGAGTCTATCCAGATAAAATCATTTTCATTCATTACTTTGCAGGTATCATGCCCATTAGAACAAAACTTTCCCCCCACGGTTACCATAACACATCCACAACAGAAAACTCCTTTTCTAAGTCTCTTCTGTGAAAGTCCATTCTTAACAATTACTTGTCCCAAAATGTAAAATCTAGGATATTTAAAGGTGAATGTATTTAAATCAACGGTGCTTTATTTCAAAACAATGACTTAGGTCTCTAAAGCAAAACTGAAAATTCCTAAAAGATACATTTCAGTAGAAAGCAGTAAGGTAAGGTGATCTTATAAAAGCACACGTTCTCTTTCAAAAGGATGTAGTTGCTGGCAAAAAAGAACAGAGAAGTCCACTTTTCAGCTGTTTATATGCACATGACTCATGTTAACAACCAAATATAAGAGATCATGACCTGAAAAATCTTCCTTTTACTTTAAAAAGAAAAGTTTTAAAATAATGGTTTAGTGGACATAAGTGATTTTCCCCATGTAATATAATGATAATCTGACAGCATCCTTAGGATGTCCAATTATGTTGACAGGTATTTACAAGAATTTCAATAGTGGAAAACTTAACTTCTGTTCTGCTGGGATGAGCCAGGAAGCCTTCTTGCCTCATATAAATGGAGTGGCAGCTAGGCACTTCTGCAAGAGGAAACAACAGTGGTCAAAGATGTCTGGAGCTGAAAATGTGCTGTTATCAGTGGACAGAGTGCAGAAAGGAAAAGTAACAGAAACTGACACGAGTCTCTTGAGGGGAACTTGTCAACACATAGTTAACATTTCAGGCAGGGCCCACACAAGAAACTTAAGGATGAGAAGCATATCATGGTGGATACTGATTCTCCTGAACAGGCAGGTGAATTCAAAGTTTTACCCACACCAACCTTAATAAAGTAAAGGTGGCTTTACCAGCAACCCTGCATAAATGTGATTGTGTCCTCAAACAGTGTCATGACTTAAAAAATATTTCAGGACATGTATGGAATAACTTTGTATACTCAATGTCATCCAAAGCAAAGATCAATAAAAGACTCATTCATAGTTTATTTCATGAACACTGGCTAGAAATTATTATGAGAAGACGAAATTGTTATATCTCTTAAAATTACTCCAGCCTAGTAAGGTGACTGCTCTTTTTTCTTCAGATAGAAACAAGACTGGCTTTTCATTTTGTTAAGCCCACAGGTCAGATTCAAATCCAGTGAGGCTATAAAAGAGAAATCCAACAACTTTTTAGCAAACACCATTGTTACCTTAAGAGTGAGGCCTTGCCTGTGTGACCAAGTTAACTCATCCCTGAGAAAATAAACTTGGTTAATGGTTAAACTTGAGTCATAGTGATGGTTGTGTATCTAATGTGTTTAGTAGCTTTAGATATGGAGAAAAGGAAAGATATATAGATTAAGAGACAAAAGATTAAAATTCAAGTCCTTCATTTACTACTAATAAAGCTACATGACTTTAGATAAGCCATTTTGTGTCTAAGTTTATATAAAACAAAGGGTTGGGTGAGATGCTATCTGAGTCTGTTATCGTCCCTAGTTATTTAACTCTGAATATAGAAGTTCACGCACATAACCAGAGGTCTATTCATGGTGAAGAGAGTGTAGTTTCAACCTCAAGACCCTCTACTTGCAAGAGCCCTACTGAAATCCTATGCCTAATTTTGTATATGTCATTTCCTTTTCCTTTTCTTTCAGAGGGTTCCCCAAATTTTATAAGTTTTAGGTACCAAAAACCTGGGCCCAACCCTACATATAACATATATAGGTTCCACAGGAATATATACACATGTGATTAAGTTGATTCTACCTTCTGTATGTATTACTTAAGTTTTTAAAACAACATGTACAAAAATAAATGTATAAAATATATATGACAAGTGTGCTATTTAATATAAGAATATATCTTCCTTTCCACCACTTGTAGTAAGTACTTAACTTCTGAACAAGTAATAACATTTAAATGAATGGGAATCCAAAGGCCCTTATCTCTCTTTAACTATCCATCTATAGACTTTCAGGCTGTAATAGATAATGAGCACTGTTTAGCCCAGATGTCATTCTTTCTTGGTCTGGAATGTTCCATTTTTAAAGTCTACCTGATGTTCTAAAATTTCTTCTAGTGATAAATATCAACCAAAATATGAGATATTATTTCACAGGAAAAAGCTTATCTTATGTGGTTTTAGTCAAAAATAGCTTAATGGCGATCCCTAATAGCAGTAACATTGAAAAGTATGTGGCAATCAATAGCTTACAAGCCGAAAATAGTGTAAAACTCATTTTCAAACACTTTATTACATTGCGCCTTCTTTATATAAAGTATTATGTAGTATATAATTCTGACCCTACAGGGTTAAACCGTGCTCTCTGATATCAGTGCTTAGAATAGGGTTGCAGTGGAGTTGATCTTCTGGGTTAACAAATGATTAGCAATGCATTTTATCCCAACTCCTTAACCAATGGTACTTCAAATTAATTTTTCATGTTATTTTGATTTATTACCAAGGCGTAAGTTCCCTCAGGCAGCTGGGCCTGGAAAGGAGAGTGTTAATGACTCTGCCATCAGCTCCGCAGCTGCTCAGAGGCAAGCATTTTGTTGTACCAATGTTGACACCCTGCCACAAAATACTTTTACTGACTGCTGCCCAGCTGGAGTGTGGCTGTAAAAACAGCTGGCTGGCTCTGGAGGCAGCTAGGAAATGTATAGGTTAAACTCTATTATATATTTAGCGTGACTAAATGTAGTTTCCTCCCCAAAGGGGGAGAAAAAGCGGAAGAAAGAAAATGCAAGCGTTTCTGAGAAACCCACTATTCAAAGTTGAAGGGTCGGCTTATAAAAGTGCCCTAACATCATACGAAATAATCATAATCCTGGAAAACTAGACATTTGACATCAAAGATAGGATTCGATGGATAATTTCACTAATACTCGTGTCTATTGAACTAGCTGATTTATTGGTTTCTGTTGTACTTACTCTGTAATATTATTCATAAATTCTACTTATTATTCTATGACATGTAAAGTATACTGATTTAAAATTCATCATAAATTAATGACATAAAATATGGCTAATGCCACAGCCTCCATTACGTTTCCAAAGGCTCAACTTGTGGCCTAAGTTCTAAACAAAAAAGCACTGAACAGCAATTTAGAAAAAAATGCATACATGAGAATATATTTGTGATTATGCCAGTTCTTAATACTATTGATTACACCCCAGAGTAAATAAAATTAACATCTAGCTCTTGAAATTGAGACACTTGGCCAGCATCGTTTAAGTCCAGTCTATCTTTAAAATCGGTGCCCTCTGTATGGTCCAGAGAAGCCTGAAAAAAATATGGCTAAGAGAAGTTTATTCCCCTAAAGTAACTAAAGTCATGTTATCCTAAAGCGATATCAGTTAATTTATGACCATCAGAGTGGGTCAGACTCTAATCAAATTGTAGAAACATTTCCAAAGTGATTATTCAATCAAATGACTAACATGGTTAATTAGGAGCCATAAACGTTGCTCTGAAGTTCATCAAAGTAATGACTTGCCCAGAAAAATGACTGCTAATTAAATTGCCTGCTGCTTTCATTTCTACCTTATCTAATAAAAAATCCAACCAATGAAGTTTGGCATTACATTTTAACTTTTGCTAAATGCTCAACTCAGATCCAAACTAGCTAAGTGGCGACTTCAAAGGGAAATGTTTTGTAGCAGGGAATGGAGGCATTTCATATGCATTCGTTTATGTTTATCCATGAAATAAAACTTACATAATTCAGTGACAATAATAAGCTGCAGTTTATCCTATTGACAAACGTTAAGATGCGAGCATATTTACATTGTCTTAATATGCATCCATAATTATAATCTTAGGATCATTAGTACAGCAGTGATTACAAACATTCACCTTGTCATCTAAGACACCTGGTTTTGAATCTCAGTTCTGGTATTTTATGGGAGTATAACATTTTGTTAGTTACTTAACACCTCTTAACTCTCAACCTCCACATCTGTAAAATGGGAATAACAGTGATTTCCTTCAAAGGGTTTTTGGAAGACCATGCGGAGTAAGCCACGGGCAACATTCTGCCCACTTTCTGCTAACACTCAGGATTCAATATAAGGTACTTATTATTAACAGAATCTACTTTTAAGTGAACCTCACAAGTATTTAAACTGTGTGAATCACCGTACTTAAAACTAGAAATAATTACGTATCAAAATTATTTTTGTAACTTAATTTGCTATTCTTAAATCATGTTTCTATTGAGATGGTTAACATTGCTTATTCGTGTACTTATTCAGTAATATTCTTCATAAATCTATTAACCTATGATATTTAAAATATATTGATTTTAAATTCATTATAAATTTATAAGGTTTAAGTGAGAAGCTCCATTATATTTTCAAAATATTTGGAGGTACCTCTTTTGAGCTTCTTTTTACAGTATTACTCCCTGATATTTGATGCTAAATGGCTTTAGTCTAAAAAGTTTTAAATTCAATCTGTAAATTGAATTATGTATATTTAATTTAGGGTAAAGGATTGTTTTTTATTATTTGGAAACTTATGGATCAAAGAGCTCTTCAGCATGACCTTAGGACGGGGCCAAATCAGCTTGCAGAAACTAAACTGCCTATAATTTGTCACAGATGAGTTCTTGGTGATGAAAGCTGATCTAATATGCTGCAAAAATTCAAAGCAGCAAAGCACTGTTGTCATTTTAATGCGCTAGTCATAGTCACTGTGGCGGAAGTTAAGAAGAAGTAAACTAACACACTAAACTACCTGATTTGATTAGTCTTCACCTTTAGTAACGCAGTTAAAATTTCCTTTAAATTAAGATAAGCAAGTATGAAACTAAAAAGCTGTTTCTTGACTTGCATTTTAAAACTGTATTGGGAAACATAATACTGATTTGGGAAGCTTTACCAAAGGTCTGCCCACAAAGTGCAGTTTTGAAGTTGCTAGGCACTTTTCTGATTTGCATATGCGTTGCCCCATGTACAGGATGAAGTTTCTTCTTCAGGGCATGGTTTGCCTAAAGTTTCTAGGAGCTATAACAGGCCGGATCAGAGAGAAACTATTTGCCACAGTTGTATGAGACATCCCTATGATTTGCTGAAATTCTTTGTTATCAAATAGTGCACGAAGCTGAAAACACTTCAGATTGTAAACTCTAAATAAGGGGGAAAAAACACCTTTCTTTCATTTGATGCTTCTAGTTAAATTCCTGGAGAAACAATCAGTGTGATAACTTAATTAAGCATTCAAATCTCTGAGAGTAAATGAGAAATCCCAGTAAAATAGAAATAAGTTCGATGTTGTATTTTAATGTGATTTTGCTTTCATGTGAGTGTACACTGCAGAGATGGATTGATTACACACTTAACTAACTCCTTGAAGAGGTGATGTAACAAGATCAAGTCCACCTAAACTTGTTTATGGTATAATGATGATGGGGGAAATTAAAACTCCAGGGCCAAAATGTGTGAGTCAACATACATCTGAAATTAACAGGTACTTGGTGAAAAATGTGCGTGTGTGTGTGTGTGTGTGTGTGTGTGTGTGTATTTCAATGTAAACACAGGAGTTTAAACAAGTTTTCAAAGACATTTATTTATCATCTAAACAAATACTGAG